AAATGTTTTAACAACTATAGTGTACGTGTAACCACCAATGAGAATTCAAGAAAATTTTATATCATTAATTAAATAAATAATGGTAGTATAGTAAATTGGTAAAACAAAATAATAAATATATCCTGTAAATTAGTAAACTAATAATTACTCTTGATTCACTTCATTTATTTAAAAAAACAAAAATTATTTAACGTCAACACTAAATCACATATACCAATGCTCATGCAAAAGAGCACAACCGATTATTCTCCTTATTTGCTATCGATTCTTATTCTGAATGTTATTGATTTTCGATTCTTCCATGTTCATTGATTTTTGCATGATTGGTTAGTTGTGCAATACCAACCAACAAACATCCTGTCGATCCCCCCCCCCAAAATGTAACGACCCAAAATTTAAGACCAAAATTTTCTTTTAATAAAACGTTACTTTAAGCAAAGACATCATTCCAAAACATAATCAGAGTATTAACTTTCAAACACATGTTCATTATCAGAGTAAACATTCCCAGGCTGTCTAATCTATGGTGTGTGGCATGCGATCACCCCGAGCTCTTCCCTCCGCTACCGGAAGTACCTGAAACCAAAACTGAAAATCGTAAGCACGAAGCTTAGTGAGTTCCCCACCCTACCACATACCATGCATAATCACATACTGCACATACTGGGACACGCCCCCTGCCTCGGGCCTCGCCCGCTATAACGACCCCGCTGCTCCAGGCCCCGCCTGGCTTCGAGCCCCGCTCGGATACACATCTGTTTCACTTAGGCCCCACCTGTCACAGGGCCTCGCCCGCCAACAAGTAATAACACATAAACGTATCACAACACATAAGCTAAACTCATACGACTGATCCTGTCCTAAGGCCTCGTCTATCCTGGGCCTCACCATTATCCTGCTACTGATGAGACATGGAACCCCATCCATGCTCCTACTGGTAGTGAGATACGGGCCCAACCCACCCTCACTCCTTCCCTAACTTGGGCCTCGCCCCTGTTCTGCTACTAATGAGATATGGAACCCCATCCACACTCTGCTATTGGTGAGATACGGGACCTCACCCACACTCACCTCCCTACCAGGCACATACATGTATCACACAGACAACAAGTATAAACTATCATATAAACAAATCCTTGGGCACCCGCCCGATATTAATGGACCACGTCCTGAATATCATGCTAGCATACTGTGCCTAGGGCTAACCCCCGGGTCTTCTACTCATAACTACATGGGCCGACATTATGGCCTTAGACCCATTCACATAAAGGGAAACTCACCTGCACTGGCTGAACTTGTTGATGATCTCACTAGCTGCTGCGCGACAACTCACTGAACTCCTGCTCCCCTTGTTCCCCGAACTACCAATATCAATATAACACTGAGTCTAACTGACCCCCGAAAGACAACCAAATCAACCCTGGTCCAAGTCAAAGTCCTGGTCAAGGTCAACCCTACTCACCGAGTCACCCTATTGACTCGTCGAGTTCATATATTCAGAAACCTTCCTTTCGCGTCTCGACTCGCCAAGTCAGTCCATGACTTGTCGGGTCTACCAATTTCTGAGTCCTGACCTGTCCAACTCATCGAGTCTCCACCCGACTCACTGATTCGAGTCTCAACTTGAAGGGTTTGGGGTTTCGCAACCTGACTCGCTGAGTCCAAGAACAAACTCGCCGAGTACAAGGCAATCTTTATCTGACTCGACGAGCTATTCATCCCACTCGTCGAGTTGCTCCTCACCTTCATGCTACTCGCCGAGTCCACTTCAAAGGACTCGCCGAGTCCATTCATATCCCCTTACATGCAGAGGGCTTTTGAGTCATGCATGGACTCTAAATTGTAGATCTACCCTTCCCAAGTCTATTCCTCACGTAAATTTGCAAACTTTACTTGTATAGAAGGAGATCTAGGCAAAATACACCATAAACTAGGGTTTAAGGCAAAGAGGCTCCATAAACAACTCAAGGGCTAATACTTATGCTTCTCAAGACCATAAAATACTTAGATCTGAAGTAGCAACTCCAGATCTGGCTTCTAACTTGAAAGAATAACATTATGGCTAAAAAGCCCCAACAACCACACATAGATCTAGGTGCAAAAAGGGTCCAAGAACTAGATTATTACCTCCAAATGCTTAGAAATGAACTCACAATCCCAGATCTATAGTCCTCTTTTGCTCCTCCAAGTTCCTTCTTCCTTCTCTAAGCTTTAATCACCTTCCAAGGCAACAAATGGCTCAATCAATGAATATGGCGGCTAGGGTTTGATGTTCTGGGTGAAAGAGGCAGTAAAGGAACCTTAGGGGAGAGAATGAGGCGCTTAAATAGGGTCCAAGTCCTGATTTTAGGGTTTTCCTCGCACAGACCAGACTCGCCGAGTCCCCTTTCCCGACTCGCCGGGTCGGTCACTTACTCATCGACCCGGATCCCGCTCGGACTCACCGAGTTCATCCTTGGACTTGCCGAGTCGCCCTTAAAATTAGGGTTTTCATTCCTTTCTTGGCCTTCCAAACTTTGGGTGTTACACAAAATCCAACATTGTCGTCCAGAATCCATGGCTTTCGTCATTGGGGAAACTGAAAAATCACGAGAATATGAAGACGACAAGTGTTGGTAATAGGTTTCGAGGTAGTTGTGTTTTTACGAGATCTCTAGCTTCAAACCCACATAAAACAAAAAATTGAGTATTCACATGGTGCTTTCAAATTTGAGATCAAAAAAGATTTCAAAAATTTTGCTTTTAAGGTATTAACATCTTCTAATAGTGCTTCAATAATTAAATTAAGATTTACAAATCTTGTGGGTGTACATTCTAGTATGATTTTCGTTCAATAAATCCATGAGTCTGATTAAATTTTCCATGATTTAACAATGGATACAAAGGAAGCAGTTGTGGAATCCAATTTCAAGAAATCAACGAAGCATCTAAAGTAAGTTTTCCATGATTTTACACTTTATTAAAGTTTAAACATTAAATATTGCTTATTGTTTCAAAAACATCCCAAGGTTCAGTAAAAAAATAATTTGAAAATTTTGCATCCATTTCTTCATTTAGATTTGTTTTATGTTAGTTTTTGTTGAATAAAAGTGGGTAACTAATTAATCCTTTTTTTCTCGACTAAATAGAGTATTTTTGCTTGTCGATAAGTTCTACAAAAATATCATTATTATAGAATGTGTTTGTTATTACTTGTTCATTTTTTGTCAATGATTGCTTGTTCATTCTTGAAATGTTAATTCTTTTATATTATAGTGATTTAACATTTTAAAGAATATGTGTGTCATGATTATAATTTTAATGTGGGTAACTAATTAAACTATATATTCTATCATAATTTATAGTTTCTACTACATTCTGTCAGAATTTACAGCTTCTATTACATTATGTTAGAATTTATAGTTTTTATTCTCTTAGAATGCAATAAAAAGTTTTAATATTTGAAGGTTGATTATGTTTTATTTATGGATCTAGGTTTTTTTTTTTGAAAAGGTTGTCATTGATGTGGAAAATGAAGAAAACATAGAGAATGAGAGTGTATTCTACCACAATGTATAAAGCGTTTCTTCACAATAATATTATTTTAGAATGGATTAATGTTTTTGTTAGATTTTGATTTTTTTTTTTTCATTTTTTAACAATTTTTAATTTTAATTTTTAAGAATAAATGTAATTATTGAACCATTACTAGTCATATATATATATATATATATATATATATATATATATATATATATATATATATATATATTCAGAATGAATGTAGTGATTGTTTATAGTCTTATTCTTTATGAATTAATGTAATTTGTGATTCTTAAAGAATAAAATCCATATTCTTTAGAAAATGTTATTCTTTATAATATGTTGTACAATTCTTTAAACATGTCAATTATAAAAAAAATTATTGAATATAACCATATTCTGCAAGAATAAAATCGAAAATATCTTTACTAGTTTATGGTTGACTTTGTCATTATGACAGAATAAAATTGGTTATAATTAAAAACTATATTATATATATAATTAAATCCCAAGGGACTTATGAACAGTGAAGTTTCAGGTATAAGAGATTAGCCACCAAAGTTTTTTAATTTCATTGTTGGCCACAATATTTTGAAGGATTTGCAATCTAGTCCAAAAGCGGCAATGTCGCGTACCATTTTCTAGTTAGAATTAAATTTTAATTGATTTAAAAAAAATGAGATTTTAAAAAATAAAAGATCTAATTATCCCTTAATTAAAATCCGAAATTTTCCTTTCTTTAATATAGGTACTTTGACAAAAATACCATTATGTTGAAATTTATGTGATTATATGGTGCATGTTACCATATTGTAATATCATAGACTCTCAGGTCATGATCTTTGATTCTATTATATCCGCTGGTTAATATATGTGCATTATGGCTCACAATAGTTAGTAAAAACACAATAACCTAAGCATATATATATATATATATATATATATATATATATATATATATATATGTGTGTGTGTGTGTGTGTGTGTGTGTTGACCAACTGGTTCTCGCTTGTTAATATGATATGTTGTTTATGTGTGACTGAGACTGCGAATAGTCTCTAGGGTTGCTGATAACCCACATGACGTGCTGTTTGCCCGCTCAGACTGCTGATAGTCCCCAGAGTTGCTGATAACCCACATGACGTGTTGTTGCCCACTAGGACTGCTGATAGTCCCCCGGGTTGCTGATAACCCATAGTTGTTTGTTTATGTTGTGCTATATGTGGTATCTTGGAAAACTCACTAAGCTTTGTGATTACGATTTGTGGTTTACATGTTTTGGGTTTTCTTATATCAAAGGACGGGAACGAGTCGATTGCATCACATCAATGGGGGGACTTGTGCACACGATAACTTTTAAATGATGCTTTGATAAAGGTTTTACGATATTGTGGTTGTGATTTGAATAAACACTTACTGTTTTAATTGAAAATTTTGGGTTGAAATTTGGGGCGTTACAAACACTATTGATTGATCAAATGACTGAACCTACACAAAGGGTCTTCTTAGTTAATCTAGGAAAGCAGGTTTGCTAGAAATTCTCACTTCTCATATTTCATCTCACTCAAGATATGATCTTTCTAGATTCCATTAGTTCCAATGACTTGGCATGATTTCTCTGTTACAGCTTCAGTCCCCTGATGCAAGTCCATCAATGAAAATTGTTGCTATACGCACTTTGTCATATACCCTGAAAACTTTAGGAGAGGTAAGGTGTTGTATTCTTATGTTGTTTTTAATAATTTATTATGACATCACTTTCAATGTCTGTTCTATTTCAGGTTCCTGTTGAATTCAAGGAGGTTCTTGATGACATAGCAGTAGCAACATTGTCTAACTCTTCACCTCTTGTAAGATATTATGATGTTTTCGTTATCTTTTTTTAGTTGAATACTAGGTGTGATACCCGTGTATTACACGGGTTGATTAAACAAAAGATTATATATTAAAATGTAAAGATTAAGTTTTTTTTTTAAATAGAATTTAAAAATACGGAATGTATAAACTATTAATTATAATTAATATCACATTTATTACATTCAATACTTTACATATATAAATATACAAGTATTATGTGCCTTTTTAATTTAAAATTTGAAAAAACTTAGAAATTGACATGTGGATATTATTTGTTTCAAAAATATAATAAAATGACAAGTATCAAAACTCATGAGAGATTGACACATGACAAAATGAATCTTCATTTATTATAGCTGATGAGATGCTTTGGGCCTTATGCTTGTTTTGGAAGGAATGATATTGATGAAAATGAAAATGGAAGGAAATTACAGTGATGTTATTTAGCAAAGGGTAAATTGCAGGAAATACAAATATCAACATATTATACCCCTTTTACCAATATAGGCAATGTACTTTATTAATCATCTGTAATAACAATATACTTGAGGTTTATTACCCATAATAGCAACGTACCTACATTTCATGCCAATAATAGCAATATGTAATTCACAATATGCCCTTTAGCAGATGCGAAATGCTAATCTAAGTTGTCTTTGGCCCAATAATCAATATCTTAATGCATCCTTTTCAATTCAGTCTTTGTTTTGCTTTTCAACTTTGGTATGTCTTGATCTAAGCATTAGTGACAACTTATTATCTGTTAATCCACTTGCCAAACACTTCAAAATTCTAATTTGACATGATTGGTAGGTAGGTTCTGAGTCAACATTGACTTTGCGTGCACTGGCGGAGATTGATCCAACATGTGTTGGTGGTTTGGTCAATTATGGGATCACTACACTTAAGGCACTAAGAGAAAATGTGTCATTTGGGAAGGTATTACATCAAAGACATAGTTTTCTTTTATGGGAAAATTGGAATTTAGTTGCTTCAGATTCACTTGTTTATATATATATTGTTTTCTGAAAATGGTATACAGGGAAACAATCTGAAGGTTGAGCTTGATTCCTTAAGTGGACAAGCTACAGTTTTGGCTGCACTTGCATTTGTCTCCCCAAAGCTGCCTCTTGGTTATCCAGCCAGGTAACAGTTTGAAAATTTTAAGGTTGACTTTCATATTTATGATGCTGAAGTGGTAAATAGACAGTGGTTTTTAACTTTTTATTTATTTTTGTGTAAAGATTGCCCAGAACAATGCTTGATGTAGCTAGAAAAATGCTAACAGAAGCTAGCCGGAACACTGTGGTTGCTACAGTTGAAAAAGAAGTTGGATGGTTACTTCTCTCATCCTTGTTGTCTTCCATGCCAAAGGAGGTATAACTGTTATTCTTCTTCAGTGGCATTATTGTAATTCTTGATTCTAAAAACTGAAAACTGCTGCATGAGTTGTACAGGAGATGGAAGACCAGGTGTTTGATATTCTTTCGTTATGGGCTGATGTCTTTAGTGGTCGAGGCCAAGATCAAGCGGATTCATCTGAGGATCTGTCTTCTAAAATAAGGTTAGCCCACTTTTCGTCAGTTATGCTCTTTTTGTTGGTAAAATTACCCATCTGCCCTTTTGGATCAGCTTGGAACACGCGTCCACCGCTTGCCTCAGTCACGTGATTCTCAACCGTGAAATTTAATTTTTCATTAAATTCTTATTGTATATTGGTTGTAAATTAGCTAATATTAGGTTGTAGATTAGCTGTAAAGTTAATGCGTATCTTTTCTTGTTACGTATTTTCCTTGTTTAGTGAGGTAGGCTCTAGTATAAATTAAGGCTCCCCCTTGTATCATTCATCCCAAGAAACACATTCACCATTTCCTTCTCTCCCCAATGGTGGATCTGTTTGAACAAATTTTCCATTAGGTGAGATAGGGTTCCTATCTAGATCCACCATTCCTTTTTCTCCACTCCTTGATCTCTCCCATCCATATATTTTTTTGTTCATTCTTATAATTTTCCTCGAAAAAGCAGTGCTATGGTTTTGATAATGGAAGCAAAAGGATTTCTATTGTTGGTAAATGATATTGATTGCCTTCAATACTATCCATATCTGCACTTGCTTCCATTTGACTCCATAAATCCCTAATAGGCACTAGATTCCCAGTTTCCCACATCCATCATCACCTATATCACCTAAGATCTACTATGTTGTTGTTTTTCTCTCGAGGCTTTTTCATTTTCATTTTCATTTTCTTCTGCTGTTTTTATTCTTAGTTGGTGATCTATGGATCACGAAATCTTGCAGTCTTTTTCATTTCTAGCCACGGAGGGTGGACTCCGGCGGCACAACCGAAAACCCTAAAATCATCTAAGAGGGGTAATATTGTCATTTTTTTTACTTTATTTCACTAAAGTTTTTAATTATACATTCTATCCCTTGCACGCGTACTTTTGTTTCAAATTATGACAATCCGACAGGGTATAGCCTTTTTCAACCAGCTACCCTTAAATACATCCACTTGGTGTCTATGTAGCATACCGTCCACATGAACTTTTTATTTAATTTTAATTTTATCAAAAATTAAAATTATTTTTGTTTATTAAACTTGAAACTTTGGATTTTATTGACAAATACCCTTTGATTTCTCGAATATCTTTACATAATTCTTGACCGAATGTCTTTGAGTTCACCTGTTTTTCTTCATAAATAATTGATTTTGTATACGATCCTTGTCAAATCCCAAAAGTACCGTCTCTTTTATCAAAGAAAAATACATTAATGATGGCAGACTGCAAAAGGACCGATGGGGCAAGGTGGCAGTCCCTCTGACCTGTGCTAGAGGGGAACGCCCAGTGTGAAACTCACTTTCTTTGAACCCATTTGCCAAAGAATGAGCAGGTCCCTGTTTACCCGTAAAAGGGGTGAACCAATAATGAATGAGGAATGAGATATCGAACTTAGGGTTTCACCTATAGAATAACTAAGATTGAAAATTGAAATCACCATCACATTCAAATGTTCAATGGGTGAAACCTTAAGATCGCTGTCACATTCCTCATTCTTTATTGTTCCACATCAGCGCCCGCTGGCGCCCCCAACAGTGAAACGCCCACGCGAATGGCTCGCGCCCGCAAGTAACGCTCCTTGCTCCAAGACAAAAGGTACAGCCAGGAGACAAACAGTAGGATCAGAGCATTACCGTCGGAGCCAATGATAGTGCTCTAGCGGTTGAGGGCGCACGACCCTCCAATCAACGCCTCTGATACTGTCTCCCCAAAAGCGATCTTGTCTTATACGGACCAGGCAGGAGTGCCAGGTATAAAAGGATGCACTCTCAGACCAGCGAGGTAAGTTCTCTGTCCCTTCTAGAGAACGCATACACAAACCCTAAATTATCCCCTAACTTGACCGTCGGAGCGTTCTTCCGGGAGCCCCTCCCGGAAAGCGGCTGATGACACTTGTTCTCTGTGATCTTGCAGTGATAACCAGGCAACCAAGAAGAGTTCATCCGTGAAGCAGAAGCAAGGTCTTACGAGGGACAAGGTTCCATCATATATATATATATATATATATATATATATATATATATATATATATATATATATATATATATATATATATATATATATATATATATATATATATAAACTTTTTATAAATAGTATATGTTTTTTTTTATATAATTTGGCTACAATATTTTTTATTTTTTATTTTTTTTACCGCGGATCTACTTTCTTATTTATATTTATATTTTGGCAAAAAATTTATGATTTGTAGATCTCGCCTCTCATACTTTAAAGAACAGATAATAAATTGTTTTTGTTTATCGTAAGTTTTTTTTACTATCTTTAATGTTCGAATTTGAAATGAGATTGATAGTAAATTTGGTACATTTATAAATAAGAATAACAATATAATATTTAATTTTCTATCAATAATCAGTTAAAGAAAAATAAAAATTATATCCTAAAACAATGATGATATTAGTTGTGAAACCAAATGCCATCGGTTCATTTTTGTATTGAAAATATAAATAACAATTATTAAGAAATAGTTGGTATTAAACATATTTATCATAAAAAAAAAAAAAAAAAAGTTGGGTGCAAGACATGAGGTAGGGATCTTTGCGTGCAACCCCAACCAAAAAAATTAAATGCATTTCATATATGTAGAACCTCTGTTATATATATATATATATATATATATATATATATATATATATATATATATATATATATATATATATATATATATATATATATATATATATATATATATATATATATATATATATATATATATGTAGAGAGAGAGACAGAAAAAGTTCAATAGAGAACCATAATTATTGGTTCTTCAAGGAACCAAATCTTTTTTTTTTCATTTTTTAGATCTTATTCTTTATCGAAAAAAAGTCTAAAAATATATAAATTCATATATTAACATTGTCAATGTGAAAAATATTTTTCGGATTCACCGTGTGAATCTTCAAATATTCACATTGTGAATTTGACGTAAAAAAATTCGAATTTTATATCATCGGAAAAAGGCTAAAACGTTATGAATTTTTGTATTTTTAGTTTTTTTTTTTTTAATAAAAAATAAGTTCTAAAAGTTGAAAAAAAGATTGGTTCCTTTGTTAATTATGGTTCTCTATTGAACCTCACCCTATATATATATATATATATATATATATATATATATATATATATATATATATATATATATATATATATATATATATATATATAAAGAGAGAGAGAGAGAGTTAGGTTCATATACAATCTCTAAATATTGTGTGAATATATGACTAATTTTACACCAATCATTTAATTTTGGAAACTTAATAATTATCATTAAATTTGAGTTCCAATATATTAGTCATGTGTATACCATTATCATCCACCTAATTTAAGTTCCACAGATAAACCCAACCATACGACCAAGTATTTTTAACGAAGATGAAAACATACTCTGATGACAAGTGAGCTTCATAACTTTCATTCTTAAAGAATTAATGTCTTATAAATCATATTTTTTCAATATACTCAAATTCTTGTAGAACAAACATTTTATGGGATTAGTTAGGGCAATGTTTTTTAAATGATTTAACATGTTATTCTTACAAATTGAAAAATTGAAGCCTCAAACTTAATCGCCGACCTATCGTTTGTAATTCTCGTTGATGGTCTTCTTGATTACTAAGAAAATCATTATATTATTTTTTTTTTCCAGAATATTAGTTAGCTAAGTGTATATAATTTCTTATTCTTTAAGAATATTATATATGAACTTGTAATTTTTGAAATATTCTTTAAGAAGGAGAATGATAAGAATTGAAATAAAACGTTCAAAACAATATCTAACAAAAACGTATTCTTCAAGAATTAAAATGGTAAGAATGAAAATTGATTTATATTCTTGGCAATGTTCAAAGCAATCTCCAATAAAAAAATTCTCTAAGAATTATTATGATTAAAGTGGAAATTGAATTCTCAAACGTATAAAAAAATTAATTTGTATTTTTAAGATTTGATTATTAATAATTAATTTGGTATTTTTTTTCCCAAGATACATGTATTTCTTATTTCGCTGTCTTAATAAAATGCATTTATAAGTAATTAAGTGTTGTTATATAGTAAATGATAGTCTATCTTAATAGCATGTACCATATGATCACATATTTTTCATTTTTTCAATTTAATGGTTAGTGTTATGAATTATTATCTAGTGAATGACTATTGGATTCTCCATATTCCCTCATTACTCTCCATAATTAGTGAACATTATAGCAAACATTATTATGAGTTTTATGAGTGTAGTTATGCACCATTATAATGAGCATTCATATCATATATCACCTTTCATCTTCTTTGTCTAGTATAAATAGTGAATATTATGTATTGTAAAGTTTGATAATTTCATCACAAGTATTGGAATAAAAGTTCTCTCTACTCTCATGTCTTTCTTTACTCTATAATTTATCTTGTTATTTGATCATATTTTATAACACGTTATCAGCACGAGACTCTACCATAGAGTTCCAACTTCTTGCCGTTCTTGTCGTTGTTAGAGAAATATGGATATTTGCAAAAGAAACGAGGAAGATATATGTCTTGCAGACAATGCAACAACACATAGCATTTTTAATAATGAAAAATATTTTGCTTACTTATCAATTGGAGAAGCAAATGTTAATACAATAACGGGTAGTGCAAAAATGATTGAAGGCTCCGGAAGAGCGAATATCATATTACCACAAGGGATAATAATTACAATTGGAGATGCATTATTTTCATCAAAATCACCAAGAAATTTATTAAGTTTTAAGGATATTCGGTCCAACGGATATCATGTTGAAACAACCAATGATGGTGATAAAGAGTATCTCAATATTACAAAAATGATATCGGGTAAGAAAAGTCTTTTGGAAAAATTACCGGTATTGTCCTCCGGATTGTATTATACAAATATTAGAATGATTGAATCCCATGCCATTGAAAATAAAAGGTATGATAACATCTACAAAGTTTGGCATGACCGGTTGGGCCATCCCGGATCAGTTATGATGCGCAAAATAACTGAAAGTTCAAGTGGACATTCCTTGAAAAACTAGAAGATTTTTCAAGCTAATGAATTGTCTTGTGTTGCATGTTCTCAAGGAAAATTAATTTCGCATCCATCATTGAATAAAGTTA